CCTAACCCAGAAGTACTCTTCAGGCCGTGATAACAGTTCACACAACAGGGCAGGCATTTAGCCCAATGTAGGAACCCTCCACCAGGACTGGCTGAACCCAAAGCCGGCTCTCTTGGTCGTGTGGACCCAACCCAGAGTGACCAGGCGTCAGCTTCCAGTGAGGGGAAGGCCGAGAGTCCCACTAAGCACAGCCCGGGGCTAAGGCGGTCGTGGGAAGGCAGCCAGCCCCCCCCCCACACTTTCCCCCTTCTCAGCCCGCCGGAGAGCTCGCCTTCCCCTCTCCACCAGCCCCGCCGAGCCCCAGGACGCTCCCCCTGGAAAAGGCCGAGAGTGGCCGCCTCCCTTCTCCCAGCGGCCGTCCCTCTCACCGCACCCTTCCTCGGAGATGCCCCTCCCGGCCCCTTGGCGCCCCTCCAGCAGCGGGCGGCGGCCACGGCAGCGCCCGAGAGCCGGAGCTGGCACGGCGGCCGCGCGAGGGGAGGGGAAAGCGCGGAGGAAGGGGGAGCCTTCGGAGCGGGCGGAGGAAAGAGGCGTGCGGAGAGCCAGCCGGCCATGGCAGCGCTAGAGGCGGCGGCGGCGGCGGCGGGTGCCGGCAGGAAGGGAGGCGAGCGCCGGGGGCGGCAGCAGCAGCAGCCGGCTCGGGGCATCTGATTGGAGCCGCCGCGGCTGGGCAGCTCGCGCGGGGAGGCGGCCAAGGGGAGCCTCGGGGACCCGCCGCGCAGGAGAGCAGGGGAGGCGGAGGATGCAGGCGAAGAAGTCCCGCGGCTCCTCGACGGGTGGCGGCAGCGGCAGCGGCGGCGAGCTGCAAGGGGACGAAGCGCAGCGCGCCAAGAAGCGGAAAAAGAAGGACTCGCGCTTCGCCAGCATCCAGGTCTTCCTGGTGTCCGAGTGCGTCCTGATGCTGGCCCAGGGCACCGTGGGCGCCTACCTGGTGAGCGGGAGGAGGAGGAGGAGGGTGGGGGGCGGCCCAGCCTGGGAGGGAGGCGGGAGAGGGGGGGGGCGGGGGGGGGGGGGGGGGGGGGGGGCGGGGGGGGGGGGGGGGGGGGGGCTTGTCAGCGGTCCCGGTGACCGACGCAAGATTGGATCCTGGGATGCCTATATTCAGCTTCATTTGGGGAGGGGAGGGGGTGTCTCTGCCTGTTGGCTCCCATCGCTTTGCAAAACCCCCCACCAAAAAAAAAACCCCGAGACCCTCCGGCTCCGGGGCTGCTCTGTCCCTGCCCCGCCCGAGCGCGGAGAGCTGAGCCCGGGTTGCATTGGCGGACGAAGGACCGAGCAGCTTGCGTGGTGTTGGCGGTGCTCCCTGCCTGCCTGCCTGTCTCTCGGCCGCTTCTTGCCCGGGTCTTGTGCCAGGCTTGCGGGAGGCGCGAAGGTGCTGCGAAGGGGCGTGTTTGGCGCAGGTTGCCTTTGACTGACACCGCCGGCCAGCCAGGCGCAGCTCCCCCTTCTCTCCCCGGTCCCACTGCCCGGGTCTTCGCCTTCCACGGCCGCCCTGCCTGCCTGCCTGCCTGCCTGCCGTGGTCTTGGATTGACCCTGGAAGAGCTAAAATCCCTTAGCCGGCTTAGCCCCGCTCGGACCCGGCGGGCAGGGGCGAGAGTTAGTCGGGGCGACCCCCGACTGAAGGGTTTCCTTTTCCCGAAAGTGGAAGATCCGAGGGGGATCGCTTTCTGAGAGGCGCCCCTGGCTAAGCGGACGTTCCTGCGCTTGGTTGGGGTCGCTTTTAAGAATTGGGGTCCTCCTTTCCAGAGGGAAGAAGGGCCTCCCGAGTCCCCTGGTTAATGAAACGGATTCCAATTGCTCCTTGCCAGGGACGGAGAGTATGGAGCAAGTAGGAAGAGAGTAAGTCGTGAGAGGTGCGGAGTTGATAAGGTGACCTCAGCTTTTAATTCCTTGCAGCTGCAGGAAAGACTTAAATACTTTTTTTAAAAACCTAACTGGTAGGTGGGCATGGTTTATTAAATGAATGGACTTGAGTGTGGTTTAATAAATTAAATTCAGGTTCCGATAATCCAGCAACTGACCATAGGGATTGGGTTGAAGCAGCTGGTGCAGCTGAATTGCAGCTGCCTACCATTGGGTTCAGCCCGTTGCAAAGGAATTGCAATTGTTGGGTGCTTTAGCTTAACTGAGTGCAGTGAAGTTTGACAGATATTTGGAATTACAGTTCCAGTGTGGCCACGTAGACCAATTGGAGTTGATCATCAAAACTTCCATGGCACTTCTGCTTTCAGTAAACCCCATTCTCTTTTTAACTTTTTTTTTCTGGCCCTTCTTTGGGTTTCTTGTGTTCCGTGTTTGAAATAATTTGTAAGCCTCCCAGAATCCCTGGGAGCCAGCCAGCATATAAATTTATTAATATTCATAATAATAGATACCTAGGATGCTGGCAACAACCTGTATCAACCATCAGTGCCAGTCAATGATATTTGTGATACATTTTAAAATGTTCAGTTGGCTGAGTCTCATGTTTAATGAATAAAAGAGATAACAACAATAATAATTAGTAATCATAATAAGGCCTTTGTTTTCAGGCCTGCCTAACAGAGCTGTTCTAAAGCTACCTTAGAAAAAGGGTTTCAAACAAAAACTTCCTCCCTGCGCTAGAAGTCAAAATGCCAATGGATACTTAAATTCATCTCTCTATCCGCCTCCCTCCCTCCCCCATGTCTTCTCCTTTGAAACGCAAAGCATCAGCTGACTTGGGGAGAGAGAGAGAGAAGGGGGGGGAACCTTGCTTGTCCCTGATAACAGCCGTTAATCTGCAGAGGCTTCACAGAGAAATAAGCATCATCATCACTTGCTAATGTCCAAAGATGACATTGCTGTTTAAAGGCCCTTTAAGACTGGGGATGGGGGGAGGGGAGAGGAGAGTGGTCACTTTAAATAAATAAAGAATTGTAAGGTCTCTGAGGCAGAGACCCTTGCGTTTTTTTGCTTGCAGTTCTCTCTGCCCGCTGGCGACAATGTAGTGATCCTGGTTACAGACTCCTGAATGTACTGCCTTCCAGATGTGTTGGGAGTAACAGCTCCTGGCATTCTCAGCCACACCTGGAAGGGGACCCACTGTGGATTGTGCTTCCTAAGTGTGGCGAGCTTTCCAGAAGACAGGATCTCACAATGGCCCAGGAGAAACTGAAACATGGAAGAGGGCGAGGAAAGGAAAATGCATTTTTGCAAACCTTGGCCTTGTGGATCTCTGTGGAGCCATCCAGGTGACTCAGTATTTGCTATGGGGCAATCTCTCTGGGTGGGGAAGGGAAGAGAAGATGCATTCAGAACTAGACCAGGGAGAAAAGGCAAAAGGGTACAGATTGTCCTCGACTTATGACCGCAACTGAGCCCAAAATTTTCTGTTGCTCAAAACGGCAGCGGGGCAGTTATGAACGCCATCCCATCCGCTTTGGCTTTTCAGTGTCCAAGGCCTGTTCATAGCATAGGGCTGTGCCCAGGTTGGTTGATTTAGCCAAATGGGGTACAGAGAAGTGGCCGAATCCTCTGGTTAGTTTTTGCAAAAATAAAACAGTGGAAAGTATTTTAAGGAAGGTACTTTGCAATGCAAGTCTGGGCTGGGCATTTAAGTGTTTTATTCAGTGCAGTTCATTTCCCACTTGATAAAAGTACCTATTCAATGGACTTTAGTGCAACCCACTCTTCAAAGCATTTTTTTAAAATATAATTAAAAATAGATACACAAATACAGTTTCTGAGGATGAACAGATGTGCAGAATACCATGGGGGGATCTTAGTTCTGTGCAAACAACCAACCACGACAACAACAAAAACCTTGTGAGAGGCCAGGCTTGATTCTGTAACTCTGAGCTTTCCTTCTGCTTTTCATATTTATTTAAATCAAGTTGACTTGCTTTATTTCCTTCCTTATCCAAAGTAAGCATCAGAAACTTTGGTCCAGAGATAGACTCTATATGACAGGCTTACAATTTGAAAAAAATATGCCTTCATATAACATCGGGCTATAGACTCCGGGTGATGTCATAATTACAGTCTTACCCGGGATACGGGTGGGAAAGTTCTAATCCTATTGAAGAAACTCCCTGGAATTTAATTAATTTGGAGCCTCTCTATTTGAGCACTTGTTCCCTTTCTTAGATAGATTTTTTTTATTCCTTCTAAGTCACTTTTTATTTTAACCTGAGCTGCCAGAAACGTGCCCCAAATAGCATGCCTGTTTTAGAATAATGAATGCACAAGCTGGTTTTTTTCATTATTCTACAAATGTCTTCCATTAAGTGGTAGGAAATTATTAATTTTGCCCTGTAGCTGAAGGTAGACAGAATTTTATGTTGCTGTTTGCTTTATTTATTCTTTGGTCCCGTAACTTCACTATCATTCCAAATTTCACAGGAAACATAATGTTTCCATACTTTTAATTATAATTCTTTTACCTTAGAAATTGGAACTTTGTTCTGAACCTTCAGAGTTATTGCAGCAGCTTTAATAAATGATCACACAAAAAAGTTAGCCTTTAACTTTTACAGGTAATGCAAGGCTAGGGACCTGTCGCATCATTAAAAACATCTGGAATTCCCCTTACTTTTTTTTTTAACCCTAGAGATTTTTTAACACTAACATTTAAAGCCTATCTATTTCGTGTGAGAAACATCTATGGATGGTTCTCTAATGAGCAGAAGTGTATCCCAAGATAAATCTATAGCTATGCTGTGGTAGGATTGTACAGCTTGTATTGCAAATATAATTTATTCCTGCTTCTGACATGTATATCAGATTAAAATAAAGGTGGGGGAAGAAAGACCTTTGTAAGTCTATTTAGCCAGTCAGACTCTGAAGGGTTAGTTGGTTAGTTAGTGGTTAGTTAGTGGTGGCGCAGAAGTTAGAATGCAGTATTGCAGGCTAATTCTGCCAACTGCCAGCGATTCAATCCTCACCAGGCTCAAGGTTGACTCCACCTTCCATCCTTCCAAGGTGGGTAAATGAGGCCCCCAGGTTGTTGGGGGCAATAGGCTGACTCTGAAAATCACTTAGAGAAGGATGTAAAGCCCTGTGAAGCAGTATATAAGTCTAAGGGCTATTGCTGTTGCTATCATCATGATGAAAACTAGCCCAACAATGCATGGAAAGTTTTGGTTGGTAGCACAGAAAGCTGGTTGCAAGTACATGAAGATAGGTCTTCCAATAGTCTGAAGCCAGCATGAACTATGCTGGGCAGGGTGTCGGGAGATGTAGCTTATTAATATTTTCTCTCTGGACTGCAGAATTGCAGAGTGGGATTTTAACCAGGACCTGTGGATTGGATGTGACTTCTATTAGGTGTTGTTTCAACTGTTCGGTCGTGTCCAGCTCTTGGAGACTTTATAGGCAAGAGCTCTCCATGAGCAGCTTCTTTCAAATGTTGGATGTTCAACTTCGCACCAGCTTTGACGTTATCAAGCCAGTGTGTTCTTTTACTTCTCCCTTCTTCTTGATTCATGAAACCATTCCTAGCATCAATTTGCATGCGTGACGTGACTAAAGCAAATGGGACGTAGTCTGATGATTTTCACTTCTAGTGATGCTTTTGGTGGCTTATATTTACAGGACCAAATAGGAATTTTAATTGGTTTTCATGCAAACAAGATCACATTTCCTTCAAACATAATGCTCTATCTTTGCACCAGGAAGAGATTGGTGGGGTTCTTTGATAGCTGGCATTGCTGTATTTTCCCCCCCTCCAATGCTTATTTTCCCAGAGCAAAATGTGCTATAAACACCTTCTTGGTGGGTTTACTCCATGACTCTGACTTAAAAGTAGGAGGCAAATTAGGGGTCTGGAAAAGGAGCAGAGACCTTGCTAATTGGGGTGATTAATGACAGTAGCTTTGGGGTGGGGGGCGGGACAAGGCCAGATTTCATGAGTTCAAAGAAATAACCTAGCTGGTGGGGGGAGAGAAGCTGTTTTTTCCCCTTTTTTCTAT